ACTAATACCCCCCAGTCAATGCTTTGCTGTAATAGGCACGCGTTACATGGTCACTTGTATTTGTTGAAAGGCAAGGACCAATAATCTCCATCAATGTTGCACGTAACGAAATTATCTGGGGGTTAACTCGATAATATGGTATCAATCCCTAATGACCTAATCGCAGGCTCTATCGCGTTCTAATCTCACAATGCATTAAGGTAGCTACTACACGAGTTGGTGTTTTATACGCTTATCAATTTGATTAATGGCCTGGCTGATTGTAATTATTACCGACACTTAAACTATATTTTCTCACTCCGCAACGTCGGGATTATATTATGATGGCGTTGATGAATTTCAGTGTATGTTATTTACTTCACCTGCCAGAGAGTGCACGAAAAGGGACGATTAAAAATGGAAAACGAAGTAAGGAAAAATACAAATTGGGATCGTTTACATTATACGACTCGCAAGAACCATTACGATATATCCACATAATTGCTCTAAAAACTCTGAACATGATTTTGTACTTTACGGACGTAGGGAGAAACATTTTAGGTTTTGTATATGAGATTTTTTATTTGTTTTGTAGCAGTACAGTACATCCATCGCATTTCTCGAGTACTAAATCTATGTATTTTATTATTTAAAACCAGTTGTTACACGGTAGATGTATCATGTATGAGAAGAGATCAATAATTCAGTCTTAGACGTGGGTGTAGCTTCCATATGTCATTTTGCTAGCCTCGTATAATCGGTATTCTGCTAATGGTGTAGGCATTAAGTTTAGCACCTTAATTTGTGTTGTAAAACTTGGATTTAATTTTATACTTACTGTACTTCTTAACTTCCTTATTTTGAAATTATAATTTTGTGTTAATGTGTAAGAAGAGTATCCGTTGTAAAATTTATTAGTAAACTCAAAACTTGCCGTCGTGTTATTCTGCATAGCATCAAAAAGTTTTTATGTTATTCTTATTTTCCAACTTATGCCTGTTATTTATGTAACAACTTTTAATAACTTATTGCTTACGGGCATTTATTTTCTATTCAGTTTTTTAAGCAATGCAAATTTATACCATACTCGATGCAATTAGGGCTGTTCACGGTGAATTTTAAGAGGGCTACTCGATTTTTCTTTAGATAATTGTTTTGGAAATTCTCCTACGATGGTTCACTAAAACGTATTTCACTGAAGTTATGTTTTATTACATTGTTTCTCAGCAAATATGTCAAAACAGCTAGTTACTTGATGAATACGTAAACGCTTTTAATAGAAATTTTAGTAGTCATAGTATAATCAGTCTGTTGTACCATTTAGGTGTATATTATTAATTATACCTACTAATATCGATGGTTTCAGATAAAATAATTGATAGAAAAAATACCTATCTTGTGTACGAAAGTGAGGATAATATTCCTAGCCTAGGTTGGTGTCTCTGAATGTCATCTCCAACGATGCGTACGAAGTTATTCTGGATCTGGAAAATCGTAAACTGCTTAATTGCAATGAATTAATGCTACGCTAGCTTATAACTAAAAAATGCAAAAATGGTTAAACCAAATACTGCTACCACCACAAGTATACAATAGAAGCACCCATTGGCATTCAGAGCATGCGAACCGCTGAGTCTTAGCAAAATACTTTGTTAAAAATGGGGTTGGTGAAAGGAAATAAGTTTTATTGGTAGAATTTGAAACGCTTCAGACTAAATACGTCACAAACCTACAACCAATCACGTAGAAGTGAGCTGGCAACCTTACGCGAGGGTCTGACGTTTGTCACATTTGACGTTTTGAGAGGGATGTTTAACTGTATCTAGCACAGCCGTCTATAATTACAAGCCGTGCTGAGAATTATGGCAACACTGCATGGTAGGCCGATTTCCTAATTCAACTAGATTTTGGGTGTATTTTATATGTGTTTTGGGTGTAATATTCCAATTTACCTGTTTTAACAGAGCGAGATTGCGACAATTTGTGTTACTCCGTACGGAATGAACAGAAGTTATTATTCAGGTAAGTTGCTAAACGAAATATATCGATTTGTTGTCATAACCTCTAAAGCAGGCTACTCGTTACTGGACCCTTTCCAAGCACTTGTATTTGCTCAAAGTACCTGTACAAGCTCAAATATGACCTACACACTACGTGGTACGTAAGTACGGTAAGTGTTTATCGTGAAAAAATACAATTAGTTTGTATTTCAGGTATTCTAGCACGGACATGTCAAATCGATTTTCTGAAGGAACCTTTCTACTTATTTCCAAGAGTTCATGGTACGGGAATTTGAAGTCTACAGGGCTCCCCTCTTTAAAAGCTTCGTACCTACATCCACTTGGGTAGCGGCTGGCTTAAAGTCTGCCATTCCGAATCACACCTGGTCGTTGATAAAACCTCGCTGATGCGCAGCGATTTACTGTCCTTTTGTCGAAATTAAGTGCTCAAGCTTGTGTTTCGCCTCGACCTGTTTCGACAGAAGTTCACCAATTTCGGAGATCTCGATGGAAAACACATTATGATGCAGTTACCAATTTACAGCGTTCCGATTTTAAAGTCAAATAAAAATGTTATTATCCATTTTTGTAAATAAATAATATATATGCACAATTGTAAGCTGCCTAAGTATCTTTCTTCTATAGTAAAACCGCCAAGGCAAAACACAGGAGAGAGGAAAATGCCATTTTTCAAGAGCAACAAGACGCCATTAAAACTAAATCGGCCCACCGATTGCCTTTCGAACAACGTTGCCAAACTTCTCAGCATGGCTTGTAATTATAGACGGCTGTGCATCTAGCACGAAAGTGACAAGTGCCTGTGACAGATGACGCAAGTTATAAATGCCATTCTCCTGCAATATTGCCAAGTCGTTATGTCATCTGAATGGTTCCAGGAGCTGATTGGTCGGGCTTATTACGTCACAGAGCCCGCCACAATCATATCGTTTTGAATAAACCTTTAAAACCGCACATGTTCATTATTTTTTTTGCTAATCAGCCTCTATTTTTAAATAAACTTTTACTGTCCAAAAAAATGTTTTATGGTTTCAGGTACACGCTTATTAAATTAGAACTGCGGAATTCAACTATACTGTAAACCCCCATTTCGCGGCGAAGCACCGCCGAAAAATCCACAACCAACTACGCGGTTTTCTAGGCCAATGGACTAGCTTCAGGAATACGTCCCGCGATGCTCAGTTCTGCAAGCGCCGCTCGACGAATTACTCAAACGAATCACCCCCTTCCGATGGAACGAGTCGGACGAACGAGCTTTCCAAAATCTAAAAGAGGCCATCGTCGACCACTTTCCCGTCCAGACTTCACGTTACCATTCACATTGCATATAGACGCCAGTAGGGAGGGCAACGCGGCAATCCTGCACTAGGAACCCAACGAAATATATTGGGATACGCCAGTGTGAAACTTAACTCAGCACACAGCCGCTACCACGCCAATAAACAAGAATGTCTCGCAGTCGTACGGGCACTCAAGTGCTTCCGCCCTTCCCTAAACGCCCGCCATTGCACCCTCAAAACCGACAGCCTGAGCACTATGATGGCTCAACGGTAGCAAATTAACAAGATGGTCACTTCAAATACAACAATTCCCCTTCGATGCCGTCCACTGCTCGGGCCAAACCAATGAATTACCCGACTATCTCTCCCGTAACTCCTCGGACGCGCTAACCGAAGATAATACCACCGAGGATGCCGATAGAATGGTTCCGCCCATTCCCGAACCAAACAACGTCTAGATCGAGAGCGCAGAACTGGCTGAACTGGTCAAGGAACGCCAACGGGGCACCCAACACGCTCGCAACCTGATGAATGCATTGGAGATCGTTCGAGCCGAAGGCCGGCCAAACTCGCTCAGGAGCGATTGATGCAAGACTGCACCGTGTGCAACGGCGTCCTATACCGATGCGGTTCGAAAGAGGCAGTTCTGGTTGTTCCATTCGACATGCACGAAAGGATACTCTACGCCTACCGACCAATACAGGAGACAACCGTCCGCCTGCTGCAGTTGTCGCGGGAACAGATTCATTCTAGTTCTCACGAAATTGTACAATGTGTGGATGGAAGCTTTTTCTCACCGCTACACCACCACCGACGCCGTGGCCAAAAGAGAGGTGGTTGGAAAATATAGGTTCCCAAGAGTCATCGTGTCCGACAATGGGCCGCGGTTTACGTCAATCACCTGGGAGGCTGCCTGACGACACTGGGGTTTCTACCAATGGACCATTCAAGCTAACCCGGTCGAGTGGCGAAATCAATAAATAAACGGCCTCCGAATACACCTCGGGGAAAAAGGCCCCAAGACATGGACAACGTTCTGTTTATCATTTTACCCTCCGATCGAGACGAAACGCCGCCACCGGAACAACTCAAGTCTCCTAGGGTAAGAGCTCCCTCGTCCAGGCGAATGGCATGCGAAGTGCGACTCCAGAGTGAAACCAGGTGAAGTGCAGGAATACTTAGGAATAGTTCGCCGGAAACAACACCGCTACCGATCACGCTATGCCAACTACTGGTCCACCTAATAAACGGAATTTAAATAATGCGACATGGTGATGGTAAATCTTGGTAGCGATCTAGAGACCACGTAACGGGATACTTCAGGCGAAAATGGCACGGTCCCTTTCGTATCACCACACTAGCCGAAGCGAATGCTTACTGGATACGGAAAGGCAACGGAGAACCAGAACAGTTGAAACATTTCACATTCACGACCTGCGTCCTGCCTAATGGACGACCACGCACCCAATCGCCTGCAGCGTCGACGCCTCCACTTTGCAGCATGGGGGGGGGGCGGTTCTGTTACCGAGAATCAGGAAGGGGTTGCGACAACCCCATTGCTTGCAGTGCCAGACGCCTCCACGTCGACGGGAATATAAACAGTACGGGTTGTTGGCATGGAAAACCTGCCGAGACTGGCTGGTAGCCGGTTGAGCGCAAGCGGATTGAGCGTAAGGTTTCCAACCACCCGACGTTAATGCGTTTGAGGTGCTGTTACAAAAAATCCCCCTTATGCATCAGAAGAGACACATCATATGCCCAGGTCATGATATGGTACTTGGCCAATATGGAAAGTATAAGGTATACCCATATACATTTCATAATCAGCCGTTTTTAATGGGAGCTTTTGTACTTCAGATCTGTTGCTAATCGCTTCGCAATAAGTACAGTTAAATGTGGAGCATGGTCTGATCGGGTGCCATCGCAAAATGCTGCCCAAATCATATCCAATAACTTTCAAAGAAGATTTGGTATGATAGGTTAGTAATGTTTCAAGAAAGATGCAATGCTCATTGATTTTAAGGTGTAATTGGTGCCATTAATGGTAGCTATGTTCGGATAATTGCACCAAGGGATCATCATACGTCTTACATTAACAGGAAGGGTTACCACTCTGTATTGCTACAAGGTGTATGTGCTGCCGATATGTTATTCACTGCTGTGAACACCGGATTTCGTGGATCAGTACATGATTCAACATTGTTTAAAAGATCAGATCTATACCATAAAATTACTACAGGTGGTGTAGAAATGGGAAATTTGTACTGGATTGGGGATAAAGCATATTCCTTACACACCTATTTAGAGCGACAAAAAAATTATAATCTTGTTCTAGAGCGGTAATTGAGAATGCCTTTGCATTTTCTTAAAGGTCGTTTCAGGCGGCTTAAATATATCGAAACTGTAAAATTAGAATATATTGTGCTATTAATTATGGGAGGGACAATTCTTTACAATCTATGCTTATTATGCAAAGATAGATTTAAAGATTTAATAGATGTGCATGCTGAGGTAGAGGAAGAAAGAGTAATTAATGATATTGTAGAAAATGTAGAAAATATAAGAAATGTAAACAACTTAGGAATAGCAAAGCGACAAGAAATTGTCAATTCATTGCCAATGATACCGTAACATTCAAATGTAGAGCTACAGTGCTAAGTATGTATCTAAAGATGTAAAATGTAAGTTTTAATACTTTATTGAATAATGAAATATACTTAAGTTTAAAGTTTGATTTTTTTTAAATAGAAAAGAACCTTAAATGTAACTTCTATTTCTATTTGCTATAAATATATAAATTCAAAAATCTATCCTGCCTTGCCAGCTCTTTATGGCGTTGCTCTATCATTGATTCCTTTCGCTTTCTTGTTCTCTGAAAGTCACTCTGTTCTACTACAGGTGACGGCGAGGGTGACGGAGGTTCAGTTTGTTGTTGTCGATGTAAAGGATGAATCTTCGTTAACTTTCACACCAGAGCTGCTGCTTCCAGTAGCTATGGGTTGAATTTCAGGCCTGTTGTACAGAATATCGTGCATCGGTTCAAAATATTCCTACATTTTAGTAGAATTGTTGTGGTTGAGCACCGCTTTAGGTATATGTCCTTTTTAAGGCTTTCCATTTTTTTTCACATGCTTTTCCTGTGATTGTGCATTTACTTTCTCTTGATATTATTACGGCAATTTTTTCCCATACTATTTTTTTGAGCATAGACTCAAAATCATCAATCCTATTTTGTACCTCTTGAATTAATAAGAGAGTATTTTGACGACTCCAATATGTTTTTCCTGATTATGCAGTGTCCTCATTGTTTGCATTTTCAAGTGAAATATCAATTGAGAATTCTTCCTAAAATGTAATGTTTTCTTCACATTCACATTCACCATTATTTTCATACAAATAGTATATTATATACCGCGGGACTGAAGTAGTACTTTTAATCCCGAAGGTAAAGTTTATGGCCCGACCGAAGGGAGGGCCATAATTTACCTGAGGGATTAATACCACTACTTCAGTCGCAAGGTATATACGATATTTTTCGTACTTCCGAAACCGAAACACTTAATATGTATGGGAGTTAGAGAACGCGTTCTTTCAAAAAATCTCTGCTTAACAAGTTACCATAGGAACGTTGCGTTGGTATGACAATCCCTATGCCATGGTAACAAAAATAATTTGGAAACTGTCATTGCTAGTGTCATAATTTTGGTGGTGGGTGACAAAGGTGTATTTGATATTGATAAAAAGCGGCCAAAGTAGGTAAAGAATTGATACTAGCGAAATCCAAAAAACTATATGAGCAGCAGTACGATGCGTTTAAGAAGTAGTGCCGCATACAAAATGTGGAACAACCTACTGAAATTGCCTTGTTAGTAATTTCATCCTTCCGGGATTTTCGTCTAATTTTAATCCCGGCGGGACAAAAAGTGACACTTCAGTACTTGTCATAATGGAGTGAAGTTGTTACTTTAGTCCCGGTAGTACGAAAAATTAATTACCTTTTCATCTATAATCGGACAATCAGTACCAGCAGGTCGAGCAGCAGGTTCAATGTGATTATCAAAACTAATTTGAAACATTTGTTACTATTGGTTGGGGGGCATACACCAGTGTTACATTAAAAATATGCATTTTATGTCACAGTATCCAAATGAAGGTACATACCTACTTACCACTAATTTTCGAAAGAGGTGTATCTCCCTTTTCATTTAATATCAATGATCCTTGTTCGTCATATACTAAATTGTGAGAATGGGTCGAAATACTGTTCATTTTATTAGGATTAATTGCACTTCACCACATAGAAATAAAACTGTGTAGGTACAACGTACAATGCACCCGCTTTTTTTTAAAGGTTTTAAGGTTAGGATATAGGTACTTATATCAGCTGATGACGCTTGCAACCCATGGCCTAATAAGGGCCGGTTTTACAATTACACTTTTACGGAGAATAAGATATTCTAGGAATAAGTGCCATAGCAACATGTATGCCATTGGTTGACAAAATGGTAACCAACGCAACCGTTGACATTTATTCTAGGTATAGCTTATTCTCGGTATATACCTTCATTGTAGAATCGGCCCTAAGAGTATGGTCTGCTATTTCCGTGAACGAAATTTCGCACAAGTCGCGCATGACGTCACGCGGTTGTGTACACTGAAATATTGTACACGCGCATATGAATAAACATGTGCTAATATTTCGATATTCCATTGCATATGTGATAAATACGATTAGGTATATAGCTATATTACTTTATTACAATGGTCCATTGTGTGGTGTCTGGTTGCAATAATAACAATAGAAAAACTAAATACAAGTTAGTATAGATTTCCAAAACATGTTGCTTTTCAGCGGGGTATAATTGTATCGGCATCTCTGATTGATGGCTACACCTTCACTCAACGATCTAACCGATCGTTAATAGATTTGTATAACGACCTAATAAATAGGTAGATAGGTACGATACGGAATATGTTTTGACACTGTTGGTAAATATACCTTCCAAAGGGCCGGCGAATGCTGCTTTGCTCAGCCATTAGAAAACTTGACGGAAATTAATACTTGTTTAACGGGCCAACATTGCAAGAAGGTATTGCTGACCTACCTTCATTTTGCTCAAGAAACAACGAACATTCATAAAGAAGGTTCGCTTTATTATGACTGCTTACGTTGCATACAAATTAAAAACGAAATACCGATTCTTAGGCGAAATCCCCGAATTTGAAATAGGCGATAATTGGATTATTTTATATCTGTACGGGATTTAAAAAAGCTAACAAATTATTTTGCTGTTATTGAAAAGTAATAAACTTATGCATCATGTGATAAGACATTCTAACGACGCTTTCGACCACTTAGTTAAACCAAAGATCATTATAATATAACGATACTCTTTGAACTTTGGAGTAAGGACGTATATATAAGAATTCGGAAACGAAATAAAAAAAATGAGAAACTGCGGGACTTCTGCAGAAAGACGAACAATTAGTAACCAATGAAAAACCTCATGTTTTAAACAGTCTGAATTGATGTTTTGTACATATTTTACATTAAAACCTAATGATTTTCTACTTTGTTTTTGTAATACAACACAGTTTGTTACGTATATATATGCAGTAAGCACTTTATGAATGAAAACTTTTCACCGTAATTGTTAGGCTTTCTTACTTATTCTTATGGGAGTCTTGCCGGCACCAGTTCGTTTCACAACCGCGTGACGTCACATCAACGCCAGCCGACTAATGCACTATGCGCAATAGCAGACCATACTCTTATTAGGCCATATTGCAACCTACCTTGCGCTGGAGTAAATGGAGTTTACTTCATTTTACACTGTGCGCAATAAACAATCGCTGCATAATAGACTCCATTTACGGATCAACAATAAACGAACGGTTTAGAGCAAAAAGAGTGTAAAAAACGTATAATCGAACGCACCTCTGGTAACACACTCGCTCTACGTTAACTAGATACGTGAAATTCATTGCCTTGAATCTACAAAATTCCTAATAAATGTTAATAATGGAGAAGATAATCATTAACAACTAACCAGTCGCGAGTTAATTAAGAACAAAACGCGATTGATTAAAAAGCAAATCGCTGCAAAACGGTAAATAAAAACCTGAGATTTTCTCCTGAGATGTGGCGGTTGATCACTTTGATGTTAAAATTTTGCTTTCAATTTCCTGATGCAGTGGGCCGATCTTACTTACGGCATCAGTTCTGTATGGTGAAAAATTAACAATCGGACATGGTTGGCTAACTTAGGTTCGACAGTTTCGTAATCTCGACTGCTACTGCCTGTGTACTTACTGCTTCAAAACGCCTCTTTATAAATACTTTAAATATAAAACGCACACTTACATCTGGTTTGTCATTTCTATTTAATATAAACAACGTAAACATTTCAACAAAGACTGCTCTACCAGTCCAACCCACTATATATTTACCAATGCACGCCTGAACTCGGATTAGAACCAGAGATCCACAGTTGAGCTTTCACTCCACTGAGCCAAGCGGGCCGGGCGGCTAACCACAATTAAATGGAGAGATCTGGATACTGATCAATTTATTAAAAACAAACTTAGTAATCGATGTTAAATGACTCAAATCAGTTTTCTAGACTTTCTGAATGGTGTGAAAATGTCAACTTGAAGGTGGGGGATTTGCGAACTGATCTACGCGATCAGTGTCGATATTGCGTCAAAGCGAGCGAAACTTCGAATGTGATTTCGATAAATAACGTATATGAAATATCATTCTATTAAACATGAAAGAAGATGAAAACATTCTACCTTTTTCAACATATCATAATAGTACTTATTCACTTTTTTACCGTCTACAATCTACATTACGCTTTTTAACAAAGAGACACTGGCGTGTTTTAATTTGTAACTAACTCGGATAAAAGCGTTCGTTCTGAAACGTTTTTGTGGTACAAGCGTCGCCATAATACGATGAGGAATAAGAAACGTTTTCTTTATTAACTATGATAAAGGTTAAGCGGAACGACCTACAACATTTCTTTCTATATATACACGCAGAAAGGCCCGTTTGATCTATAGTTAGTACGTGAAGTTTCGAATAAAGCTAGTAATCCGGAACAGGACGGGATTGTGAAGGCCCTTGACATTAGAGAGCCCGTGTATTATGGGATTTTAGCTTAAGGGACTTTGTGACATTTCTACCAAGTCTCTTGGGAAACCACACACATTGCAACTTAATCTCAAATGTTGTCTTCTGTATAGCTCATTATTTCTAAATTAGGGGCAGTAGGCGAGTGGACAAAGCTTAAATGTTCGATAGTAACGGATTCGATGTTTCATCGTCGCTAGATAAGTATAATCCTCGATACTAATTGAATGCGAACATTATTAAATAATTATTTGTGGTAAACCGAATCGTCGCAATATTTGGTGTTGAATTCAATATATCACTTTTTGTTTCTATTGGACGCAGCAAAGTAGTTGAGGGAGACATCTTCAGTGGTGTTTGTCCAACATACAATTTATGCTGCCTATTTATTATACTGGTGTAGGGACATAAATGCAAACTTTAACCCTTCTATTTTAAGGGCGTCAAAGTTTTTA